ACTATAAACTAATCAATATATTCTCCTATTTAAATTTGGTCGGAGATAACCGAGTTTCATAGACTTGGAGATAGCTGCAATAGCCTTTTATGACCTAGTCCAACAAATTACCGCCAAATTGGAGCTATATAATTTGCACGCTCATGAAATCTCAGCTTTAAATTCTTCTAATCTTTGACCGAAATCCTACGGAGAGAAGAAAATTCAATGAAATGACTGGACAACTTTGCAACACCATACCATATAGTATTTTTTTTACATCAACATATATAGATACAAACTAGTAAAACATATGTATATATACACATAAACATTATACGTACATCACAAATTGGAAGTAGAATTTTAGTTTTGAAAGGAACGATCACGTGGGTTATTAAAAATAGAAGTATGTGTATATATAAAAGAAGAATATGGGAATTTCAAATGCCTCGGGAATTTTCATAGCACAAATTCATCAATACGGCCTGTTTGATAGAATTTATTTGGGAAAAATGAATTATTGAATAGTATTTTTTGAAAAATGTGGTTAAAAAGTAAAGAAACTTTATTGATTTGTGTATAGAATATTTTATTGTGTGAATATACAGTAGAGCATCATGTAGTAAACAATTTAAATTTTGAAAAGATGACAAATAGGGGCTAAGAAAGTTTTCCAAATTTTTAGACGTCATGTTTAACTAAAACCCTATGTTGTACTTTAATTTCAAAGTTCAGTGGTCTTTTCATCTAATTTGGATGACTGATTATTTTCGTTCCCAGCCTTCCTTTTTTTTTTTTTTGGTCAAATAAAAGGAACTATGGTGGCTCTCTTTTCTGGATTAGTAAATATCGGAAGTCTGAGAGTCTTGAGTACATTTCTTTTTATGTTTTTAAAATAAAATAAAGGCTTTAAAACTGACCAATCAGTGGATTTGTTTTGTATTTGTGTATTTGATTTGTTTCGGAATGCATTTTCAGTGGATTTGTTTTGTATTTGTGTATTTGATTTGTTTCGGAATGCATTTTCAGTGGGATTGTTTTGTATTTATATTCGTTTTTTTTTATAAATAATTTATTTTTGGTTAAACTTCGTGAATATTTAGAGTTCAAATGAATGAATTTCACAAGACTAACATTGGAATGTAATGGTGATGAATGTGGTGCTTTTTTAAAATTATAATAGGAATAAATAAGAGTACGATAGATAAAAGTGGTGTAAATATGGATTATTCTTCTTGAACAGAATGGACATCATAATGGTATGATGTCCATTATGTACCCTAAGCATTACTCTGTAAATATAAAGTGTTTAAATAAATGAATTTAATAAGGAGATTGTTTAGAAAAAGGTTGAACCCCAAATTTGAGGGTCCTCATTGCCCCGCCCCTGGAGTATCGTGAGGGAGGTAAATTGCGAAATGGGCCAAAGCAGGCTAGTGAACAAGAGCTTGCCCGTATACTAATGCCCACAAATAATCCAATTCCATATCTCAGAAATCGAACACTCACACTGTGTCTACCAAGTTGAGACTACCTCACTCCTGTTCTTTGCACCAATGTATTATGCCTCGAGGGGGCTATAAGGAGATTGTTATAATGTATTGTAGATGAATATAGTACTTTTTAAAATTTTTGAAGTTTTAATATGAATAGATTTAGAGTATAATAAATATATTAAAATAGTGGATAAAAATAATGACTCCCTTAAATATTTCAATAAGCTTTAATGTAATTATTTTTTGAGTAAAAAGTGATAGCAAGAATACAGTCTCATTTGTTGTTTGTTAAGTCTTCTTCGTTTTTTTTCTTTTTTTTTTTTGTTTCAATTTTTATTTTGTAAAGATGACATAAAAAGTGGTCATATGCATGACATGTGAACTTTTATCACCCAATTCGATTAACCTGCACCAAAAAAGATACCTTGAGATTAAAATGTCAAACAAATTTTTATCAGGTAATCTAAAAATGATGTATTTTAAGGAACATCACTACATATTTTCTGTTACGACTAGATTCAATCTCTTGATTCTTACAGAAAGGAAAAAGAATTTGAAGCTCTTTCAAGAAAAGAGGATTAGGAAAATTTTCTTGATTGCAACTTTTTCCTAACCATATCTATACTAAATTGAAACATGGCCTTGTGGTAAAAAAAAATTAATTTTTCGTGTTGTTTCAAGGACATGTTAAACACATGGTCATTTTCTCATGCATAATAAAGTTATTTCTTTTTCCTCTTTTCCTTAACAAATTCTACATCGAAATGTATTCGATGGATAATATCGGTTGAAAAGTACAATATAGACAAAACCAAGAATTCTGTCAACAAGTTTTGATTGCAATGTGAGTGATCTACGTCTGCAAACTTTCCATTGGATTTTATGCCAAATCGAAACACGGCTTTGTGGTTTTAAATTTTAAATTTTCATGTTGGTTAAAAGTGATGTTAGGCATGTGCAATATCCGTGCCAAATACGATAAATCTCATCTTTAAATGTATTCACTCTTATGATGGATAATGCCGATTGAAGCATTGAAAAATGCTAAAAACTCAAGAATTATTTGATAATTCCAATTTTATCTTGATTCTATAAATATTTCAATCTAATTTAATGTATCCATTCACTAATAATTGTGCTGTGGAGAGTTGTTTTTGGTCGTGGCACAAAATTTTTTTGGTTGGTTTTTTTTTTTTTTTTAAACGATAAGGCTTGACAAAATTGACCCAAGAATGAACATTTCAGATAACTTTTTACATTTTCTATCCAATTTGGGATTTAAATGCCAATTTTATTTTATTTTTATTGGAGATCCAAGTGCTCTAAATGATATAACTTGATATGCAGATTCATAGTCGCTAGCCCTCATTTGGCCCCCATTTTTTTAACATTTTTTGGAAATTAAAATGTGTGGAATAGTATTTTTTTGAAAAATAAGTAATTAAAAAAGAACGAATTTTTTTTTTATTTACGTGTAATATTATTTTACGAAAGATTATTTAGTTAAAAACAGAATAGAGAAAAATGGAATGAAACTTAGAGTATGTTTGTTTCCCATTTCTATAGTAAAAATACATTTTGGAATAGTAGAATAATTAAAATTTTGGTTAAAAAATAAAGAAATGTTTTGGATTTACGTGTAATATCATTTTATTAAAAAATGTGTCAATGAAAAGAAGGGAAAGAAAAATGTATTTCGAAAAAAATGTACATCCAACAGCAGCAATGAGGGCCAAATTTGAACATTTGCGGGTAACATTTTTTTTTCTAGCCCTTGTTTGATATTCATTTTTCTCTCTTTTTTTTTAACCACACATTTTTCAATAAAATAATATTATACGCAAAATTAAAAACTTTCCTTATTTCTAAAACCACACATTCTTCATTAATCAACTATTTCAAAATACATTCTTCCTATGAAAATGGAAAACAAAAAGGCCCTAAGGTAGTTAAAGACGTGTAACATTTATGCAAACACACGTGTTGAAATAATTTCTTTTTCCTCTTTTTATACGTGTATTCCTTATTTATAAAATTTACCTCTAATTGTAGTTGATGGAAAATGCCAAATATGGCAACAAGCAAAACATGAACAGCTTCATCAAGAAACTACAATTGTAGACTGGAAGATAAAAAATTTCAAAAATACACCAAAACTAGTCCAAATTAGGCATCAAGTACGCTGACTGAACGGTTTGTAAGTTGTAACTATTTGTGACGCCTCCATTCCTAGTGTTCCAAAGATCGATAGGAATATAACTCACCTTCTTATTTGAGGGTCTATTTAGGGCTCGAAGTTACAATCCAAGTTTTAGAAAGGTAATAAATATTAGCCAACAAATAGACTGACAGTTTTCACCTGTAAACTAATTCACATTTTTTCCCCATCGAATGCTTAACACATTTCAAAAATGGATCACGACAAGACCTGAACTCAAAGTATTTATCTACTCTGATATCACCTTAAACCACATCACGGACATCAAACCTTAATTTAACATTAGCCATCAATTAGCTTCCTTGTTTAATTGATGGAAAATGGAGAACATATTACAAAATCATCTAACTCGAGGCCTATACAAAAAGTATAATGACATGGTTAGAAGTCATTAACAAACGCAAACAATAGTTAATAACCCAAATGGCCACTCAACTTTGCAAAAAAATTTCACCAGGTTACTGAAGCCCCGTTTGGTAGGGATTTTTTGCCCCAAAAAATTGATTTTTTGACCGTTATTTTACTATTCAAGCCGTAATTTTTGACTTCTTCTCTCACATGTGGACCCCACTTTTCTTCTAACGGTCAAAAAATCAATTCTCAAAATCCCTATCAAACGGGCCCTGAACTTTAAAATTCACCCAAGTCATCACTAAACATTGCAAAAGGTTTTCACGGGATCACTGAACATTGCAAAAGATTTCCACAGGGTCATTGAACTTTAAAAATTATTCCATTCATCACTGAACTTTGCAAAAACTTTCCCAATGGTCATTGAGTTCAGTGACCCAGTGTAAATCTTTTGACAAGTTCAGTGATGAGTGGAGTGGTTTTTTAAGTTCAATGACCCCGTATAAACCTTTTGCAAAATTCAGTGATGAATTGGGTGATTTTTAAAGTTCAGTGTCCCAGTGAAAACTTTTTACAAAGTTTAGTAACCATTTAAATTATTAACCCGATGTAACAATGTACTTTGCCTATTTTCTGGCTCACAACTTCACGACTAGTAATGGTGTCATAATCTTGTGAAACATAAGAACACTTAATCTTGTGAAACGGAACGATAATGTGGTACCACAAAAGCTCTAATTAATAAGAAATTATTTCAGCCGACGAGCAAAATCCCACCCACATAGATAACTTATTTCACCTAACACCAGAGACTGGAGGCAAAACAAACAAATGGCAAAAATTAATAGCCTTGTATCAGCAGTAACTAACTGGGAAGCAATTTGGCATCCTTTGTGAACCAAAATGAATTCCCATCCAAGATAAGCACGAAAACTATCATTTTCACCAATACAAGTGAAATAGAAGTGGAAATTTTAATCAAAAACAAAAATCTTGCCAGAAGTGGTTCCATAATGCATAACCAAATTTCACTTCTTAGATTACAAAGACGACGTTCCATAGTCTTGATGAAATAGCAACAAATAGCGTTCTTACCATTCAAGTAGCGACTTCTAGGGGAGGTGAAAACACAGTTTTCATACTTACCTAGTTTGAAGGTTCCTTACCAATACTTGTACCCAAGCAACAATTGGATCCTGAAAAGTTTCGAAGTGGTAATTTAGACTATAATGCAGTTGTAACAATAGAAATACACAAACCATATCTACAAATTCTGCATTTGCCAAGCTAGCCATTATACAAGGTACGTCCCAAAATTTTAAAATTTCGGATCCTATACCGATTCACATCTCTCTAAGAGCATTGTACTCTACAAAATACCAAGCCCTCCGGAAACTTGGAAAGTGATCATGGATATCAATGCTTTAGGAAAACGAATGGATGGAACAAAATAAAGGGTCAGACAACTCACCTATCTTGATTTCCATCTATCAACTTAGTATCGGTTATAGGATTTCCCCAAGTCATCGTGCCTTTGACGCTGAAAATCATTAAATGTGTTGTGAGGTCTTGAAGGATAATTTTCCATAGAATTTGGGTACCTTCCCCTTGACTCCATCGGCATATTGGTTACAGGACCGGAATAGTGCGCATTGCCTGAAGGATTATCATACTCTAAATAACTAGGTTGTTTATAATCACTAAACCCAGCAGCTGAAATATGGTGGCAAGCTTGTTGTCTCCTCTGGACGTCAACTTGAAGAAATTCTTCCCACTGTTTTGCTTGTGCACCCCTGAGCATAGTCAGTTTCTTCATGTAACCCTCCCTAATTTCTCTCACAGCCTTAAATTTGAAGAACCCAATATGTCAGGAGTCAATTGACACAGTCAAATTCAGTTGAGCTTAATTGTATTCTATATATTGTGCATCCAAGCAAAATAAAACAGATTCCAGTGGTTAAGAAAGTTTCCGTACTTCAAGTGACCAAAAAAGGCTATTGTGATTGGACATTTGTAAGATAAAGCATCATTAATTAAACTAGAAACAAAATAATAGAACGTAACAAACCTCGCGATGCTTGTGAATTTCTTCATCTTCTTCCTTGTCTCGAATTCTCGCAAGATCCATTGCTTCCCTTTTATATTCCAATTCTATTTCCTCGAAGGTTTGAGAGAATGCATGGTGTTCAAACTTATGGCTAGATTGCATGTCAGACCCACGTCTTTCAGCATCCCATCCATCAGTTCTGTAGCCCCCCTTGCTTTGACTCTGACCATCATAAGAATTATATGGGTTTCCCACATAAGAGGAAGGTGCTGGAGACCTTGAATGGCTTGATCGACCTCTACCACCATCATTGCCATAAGCTTCACCAGAGGAAGAGTGTGTTAAGCACTTCCATTCAAGATCTCTAACAATGGAGGCAGCTTTAACATGAGACACTATCTAAATTCTCATACTGTATCCAATCTGAGGCAAATGAGTCTCCATATGCTCAGTAAAAAAAATAATTTGGAGACCACCCTTTCAATTCAACCCAAGATATATCTTTCAGAATGCTTGAACGTAAGAACTTACCTCTTTCTGCAAAGAAAATGATAAGAAACAAGCAGTATAAAGAAAGAGATTGAACGGCTGAACAGAAAGAACATATAAAATGATATAACTTTATGAGTTTGTAAATTACAAGAAAGAAATAACCTCTACATGACAACACAAGTACACATATGCTTTGCCTACCTTGCATAGAGGCCCTCGATAATTTTTGCACATCTTCACGAACATGGTCTTCCACAACCTTCTCATGTCTGCCAAATCTGTGTGGGACCTGCGAGGCATTATGTGGACTGGGATTGGATCTTTGAGAATTGGAGCGTCCCAACCGTGAGCTAACAGGACTCTTGCGTTCAGGTGACCTAGACCTGGAAATTGGGGAGCTAGAAGAATGCTTATTCTCACCCTCTTCTTTGACTTTATGAACAGCATCAACACCTTTTTTCAAGATCAACCTATCCTTGCCACTGACAATGATAAATTTTTCCTCAATTTTGATTTTGCATCCTATATCCTTTTCAATCTTATTTACTACCTTTTCAGTGAATAATGCTTTCACATGAGGATCTCTCGCAGGTACCCGCTCAAAGAAATCTTGAGACTTACGATTCGCCCCAAGAGTAGAAGGACAACCCTGAATTAAATCATTTAGGCATAATACATAAACAGAATTTATCCATAGTTGTACACGTACACATGCTTTTGAAGAGGAGGTAGGCAAAACGACATTAGAAATGACATTATATTGCTTTTGTCACTGGTAACAATTAAGTAGAAAAATGCTTTTATATCCATCATCTATCAGGGAAAAAAGGGAAAATTGTATTTAAGCTGCAGTCGAATTTTGGATTAGGCAGCAGGGCATAAATTTCTTGTCTGAACTAGCATTGTTTCATGAAAAATTAGTAGATGCTTATATGTTAAAACAGATCCATTATCTATCAGGAAAAAAATAGTATTTAAGCTGGAAAAATATTATTCCACTGTCAAATTTTAAATTAGGTATCGGGGCATAAATTTCTTATCTCAACTATTACTGTCTTCAAGACAAGTTAGTTTACTGTATGTTTTAAATTATCATATGCCATCAACAGTTTGGTCCTAAGCATGCATAGCACTCCCCAGGTAAAAAACGCTGACGATAACCTGTTTGGGAATGTTAGCAGATCTCTTATGAGAGTTGTAGCCACATTAGGACCCACTGACTTCAATATGACCATACCATTCAAGTCAAAACATGCATAATTGTATCACCCGCCCCTCCACCTGCTCTCTTCCTCTGTCGTTTTCCAGAGGCTAAGGGCGGCTCCCCTTAGATAAGAGAATTTGGAAGAAAAGCAAAACAAGAGCTATGACAAAACAATCTAAAACAAAAGAAATAAGAAAAGGAACCTGAGTGAAGTGGCCAGATTCTCCACATAATTTGCAGATCATTTCTTCCTCTTTCCTTTTCTTCCAGTTCCTTTCAGTAGCTTTAGATTTAGCTTCCCAAACCTTAGCTTCTCGGCTCGTAAAATCTGTTGGGACAGCATTAGGGTCTCGGGCTTCCTCTTCCTCATCCGAACCCGCTTTTGATCTTTTTTTTGTTGTAGTTCGGTCTTGTGCATTGGTTGCATTAGGATTAGATCCCAGAGGACCAGTATACGCCTTATAAATTTCGCTAAAATCATCATCAATGTCCAACTCTTCCCTGCCAGACATCTCAGCTTCACTGAACTAATTTCCTGCCAGAAGAAAAGACTAGAAAGGTCAAGTTGATATCAAACAAAGGACTGTAAAATGTACATAAAGATACAAATCAAATCATCTCATGCATGAAAATAACTCCCAAGAAATATCATCACATAATCAAATTCAGCATTCCGCTTTGTAACTTTTCCATCAACACTATTTTTTTTTCCTGGCATTATAAGCTCCCCACCCGATTCTTCCACAAAACCTAAAAACTAAAAAATCTCTGAAGGAAGGTTAAGAAAGTAAAATTGAAGCATTATTGCAAAGAGAAGCAATGTATTTAGAGAAAGACACTATGTACTTACAATGCAAATTCAACAAAAATAGACCATCTCAAAGGGAAATTTGGAAACTCAAACGCGTAGAAACTTTTTTAGTGTCAATTTTCTCATTATTAATGTATTGGTCCCTTGCGAGACAAATATCGCATTAAGTGAAACATGTACAATTACTTTCACAAAATGCAATATCCTCTCGACTAAACAGGACTTACACTACAGTTATCCAATACAATTTATGAACTGCATGCTTACTTTCGCAGTTATCCTTGAATATCTTAAACAGATTCTACCTCTTACCTTACTGATAATTTTCTTTAGAAACGATAATAAGGAATTGGTTACATTTTACATGCCTGAGTAAAAACTCATTAGTGGGGCTAAAATTTTTTATTTTGCTTGGTCAGACTTTTTACTTACAATAAGATATCACTTTAGTTTCAGAAAACCTTATATGCATAAAGTGCTTTTTTCCAATACAAGAATGCACGGAATTCTTGTCAGAATTGCAATATTCCTTGTTAAGTAAGGGGTGCACCTAAATAATTGAGCTTTCATATTTCTCAGTCCCTCTACTTCTCAGGGAGCATTGAGCTAAATATAACTAAGCTAGACTCTGAAGGAAAGAAAACTACCAATAATCTAAGCTCGTATTGTCATTGATACTGCAAAGTCTGCAATTTGCAAGGAAAAACTAATAAGCTAAATTTGATAACTGGAATTCGCGAAAATATATTATTGAACTGTGAACTTCATTCGCAATTTAAATTTCGATGCTACCGTTTATGCTTCCAAATACAGCCACGTCAATAATATAGAAATTCGCTAAACACATAACATCAATCAGTTTCAAAATAAAAATTAAAAAATAAGAATGAACACCTAAAATTAAAACTAATGCCGGGTAGTGGCGATATACCCCAAAAATTGTACTACTAGTATAAATAAAAAATTCAAATGCACAATACCTAGAATAAGTTTTCAAAAGAAATTATAGGAGAAAGGTTTCAAATTTTGTTTATATTAATTTCAACAAAATTTGAAACTCAAAAATCTAAAAATAGGATGACTAGTACTAATTTGGAACTGCAAATGAATTGTACAATAAATTGAGGGAAAAAAATGAAAAATCGATCGTTACCTGTATGAAGCGAGAGGGGTGCGTAGTAGCGGGAGGAACAAATGGACAACCGGCTAGGGCACGTACGCCTTTTTCTGATTTTGTTTTTGCATTTTATTTTAAGCTCAGATACATCGGGCTAAATTGCATTCGACATCCCCAATCTTTGAAATAGTTCTCAAAAATAGTTCCAAACTTTTCTTTTTGCATTTAACTGCTGCATTTTCATTTTCAGTGCATGCTCATCCTCATTCGCGATTCCGTCCAAATTTGATGTTAAATATCTCAAAAAGACACTTCTGTCCCAAGTTCAATTAAAAGTAAATAAATGAATGAAATTGAGAATCTTTAGTAAAAAGGAGAAAACAAGTTAATGACTTTTCTAAATTTTTAGTCATATCATAAACTTCAAGTTTGGTTCCATCTATGTACACGGTGCTTCACCTCTCTCGGTTTCACGGGCTGCGGATTTGGCTTTGAAATTCCACGCCTCAAGATAGCCTTCTCCTCATTCTTAGGTTGATAAATTCGAACTGGCACAAACACAAGCTTATAGGTAGAATGCTCGATAATAACAATATATAATCACATTATCCATGTACTCTTCAGCAATAAAGTTCACATGCCTAGCTATTAACAACCTTGTCATGCAAATGGGGAGAGGAGCGCTCTCGGTACAAGACATTCTCTCCCATTCGAATCCATACGCCCTTGTACGAGGAAGTAAGTTTCTCTTTTTAGGTCAAACGATTGATTGGTGTCTGCAGCATCACCACGAGAAGGAAAGCAGAAATCCTATCCTTTCTAGCTCTCATCCTAGGATAGTGTCAAGTAGAGGTCTTACAGAGTAGGGAGTTTAGCAAGCTGGTAAGGAAACAAAGGTGATAAGTGTAATTTCACACATTTATTAAGTACTTCAATGAGATAATTATTGATGAAATTGAGTGAATTTCTATTCACAATTGTGTAGTGAATTCCTATTCACAATTGTGTAGTTGTGGCTTTTGTGGGCTAAAATCCCACATTGGAGGAGAATAAAGCTAAAGGATAGAAAAAAAGGACCAAAATTGCACAAAATATGGTTTTGGGACTAAAATGCACAAGCACCTAAAGTTAGGGACCTTGGGTTGCAATTTTTGGAGAGCGTGATTGGAAGGGAAGTCCAAATCTGGGGAAGCTGTAAAAATAAAGAAAAAGGGAGGTGCCCTAGCTACTGATTGGACAGTTTTTTTCTCTTCAAAGTTGAAGGAGTCTTCTTGCAATTTGGTTGGGACGATTTTTATACTTTTTAAACATCATTTAACCCTTTTTCTACCATTCTTTCTCCCACATTTTGAGAGAGAGAGAAAAAAAGGAAGACCTATCCAAGAGAAAATGGGGGCAAGCAAAAAGTGGAGAAAATATCACACAAAATGAGGAAAATTTTGGAGAGATCAAGATCAAAACTCAGCAAGCTTCAAGACTCCAGCTAAGGGGGAAAAAACAGAAAAAGCTTCCAAAAATGGTCTTGCACAATAGCCTCAAACGAAGCACGGAACAATGCTCAAACAAGTCAAATATCTTGCTATTGCTCATGAAAAATTGTGACAATCATGGACATTTTAGATCCATGGAAAATAATGTTCCTTCACAATAAAAAATTGAAAACAAAAAAATGTAAACAAATGGTACAAAAATAATGGACGAAAAGAGGAAAAAAAAAAAACAAAGGAGCTATCGATGCTGTTAGAATGGAGCTACTAGCTAGGGTAAAAAATGGAATACGAATAGTAAAAAAAGAACAAAAGAGGGGAGATGCTATATAAACAGGGTCACATTGCCCCGTTTGTCCCCCTAGAAAAACAGGGCCTATGTCGCCTGATTTGAGAAGAATTATTTATGAGTTCTGCTAGGGTGACAGAGGAAAAAATGGGGGAGAAGGTGGATGCACCTCAACCCTTAATCTGATCTACAACAGATCAAGATCAGATCAAGGGCTCAGTCCCTTTTTTCCCCTTGTCCCTAGCCCTGTCACTTTAGCATTAGTGATTATTTATAGTAGAGAAGACAAGTAATTAGGGCCCACCTCAACTACCGGCATGCATCACACCATTTAACAGAGGGCAAATTCGAAAATAGTTAATAGTAATGGACTACCAACATCTTGTCAAATCATTACTTTTCAAAAAGTGTCATGGCAGCATGCAATTTTAATTTTAGAAAATGGAGAAGAACTGTACCAAAACATGTTTTGAGGGGGAAAAAATGGAATATCAATCAGGCACCTAATGAAAAGGGAAAATTACCTTAAATCAAGGGTTTAAGATTTAATTATCATAAATGAAGGGACTAAGATTTTTTTACAAAAAATAAGTGTTACAAACTAAAACATTTCTCTCTTTATTTGCAAACCACAAAGGGGAATGTAACCAAGGTAAAATAATTTCTCTCTATTTGCAAAACATAAAGCAGAATGGAAGCAGAGCAAGATGAAATTTGACGATGTCCTCGTCGACCGACACCCTACAAATTGATTAGTATGACGATTGTCATCTATTAGTCTCCCCTCCTCCATTGTATAGCTACCATCACAATCCCCAATCTCTTTCCTTTGATGATTGCATCAATCGTCACGCACTTCCAACAAACATCTCATCTCGATTGAGACTAGTCGAAATATGATTTCAAATCCACCAAGTGCTTCACCTCTACCGTTGTTGGAACTAACATCAAATCCACCAATATACTTTTGTGGGCAATGTTCTCTCAATTATAATTCATCATCTGTTAAAAAAATCTATTCAAATTTGAATTGAAATTTTTTCAATTTCAGTAAATTTGACGTCTTTTTTTTTTGTAATAAAATCATATTTATTTTTTTTATTTGAATTTTATTTTTATGTTGTTATTAGATGCAACCATTATAGATTATTATTGTGTCGAGATTTTTCATTTTTGATGCTCAAAAGCTTGCAGAAGACGTACTTAAAATTATGGGAAAATTGCAGCCGAGGTACCAAATTTTTCGTTTATTTGCAGACTTTGTCCAAATATTTCATTTGTGCCATCGTGAGTACCAAACCTTTAAAAAATGTACAGCTCAAGTCGAAATTGAAGGTTTCCGTTTGTTTGACCTCAAAACCCGTTAGTTGACTCCAAAAATTAAAAATTTAATTATTTCCCCAAAATAAGGTAAGGGCATTCTGGACATAATACATTTTTCTTATTAAATTAAAAATTAGAAAAATAATCCATCTCCTTCTTCCCCAAATCAAAACCACTCCACCCAACCACCACATTCATCGCCGGCAGCCACAACTACTCGCCAGCATCACCACCACTGCCCACCTTACAATACTCATCAACAAGAAAAGGAGCTAAATCCATGAGAACTAGAGGAGCTGAATGAGACGCGGCGCTTCGGGTGCGAATGAGGGTAATAAATCCATTGGTTATAAAGGCCAAGAAATGTGCTATTTGATGGACTTTAAAGAGGTAAATCCATGAAAACTTGTGGGCACTGCGTGTCCAGTCCTTCTCCGACACCGATGCTGTCGTCGTCGTGGAGGTGCTGTGTAAATCAACCGTCAAAAAATTGAAAGTTTCCGATGAAATTCATAGTTTGGTGAAGGGGTATTTTTGATATTATAACTGAAAGTCATCATCAATGGAATAATCATCACCGCCGCTATTGCGTATCGCTTCTACCACAAGGGATCCGAGCAGTCTATTGAATGTGAGAATTTAATTTTAGTTAAAATGCCTCCACCCAATTTGCCTCAATACCAACTCCGATTGAGATTAGCACTGTTATGGAGGAACATCCGGCGACAATGGAGTCGGCTTTAGTTTATGAGAGTGAAAATGCGCAGCCTTTGAGGTGAAGCACGTGGTGGTGAACAATTCTGAGGTTATGGAAAACAACGACGTTGCAGAAGATGAAGACAAAGACGAGTTTATTGTCTCCAATTAGAGGTGGCGGTGCCGGAGATGGCTTTTACAGGTGGAAAGTCATTTGTGGAGGTTGGGGAAGAAGGAGATGGGGGTGGGTGCTTGTGGTTTTGCTTTTCTAATTTTTTAATTTAATAGGGAAAAAGTATTATGTCCAAAATGCCCTTACATTATTTTGGGGAAATAATTAAATTTTTAATTTTTGGAGTCAACTAACGGTTTTTGTGGTCAAATAGACGAAAATCGTCAATTTCGACTTGAGCTGTACATTTTTTAAAGGTTTGGTACTCACGGTGGCACAAATAAAAGGTTTGGGTAAAGTCTACTAATAAACGAAATGTTTGGCACCTCGGCTGCAATTTTCCCTAAAATTATTGTTGAAGGTAATGATGTTAAGTTGACAAGAAGTTGTTGGTACACTTGCAATTTGTTATGGGATGGGTGGGGTAAGGTGAAGGGATGGTGATAGTGGTGGTATACTTGAGGTGAAGGTGGAGGCGGGTAGTGCATAGATTTGACGTATCCATAGTGATGGCAATGAGCCGAGCCGAGCCGGCACGGCCCTTTAACCCACGAGCTCGGCTCGGGCTCATAGTTCGGATAGGCCCACGAGCTCGTGAGCTCGCGAGCCAAGCCGAGTCGAGCTCACGAGCAGCTCGTGAGCTCATGATTCTTTTAAATTTTTTTTGGTAAATTGCACGTTTTGGACATTTTTTTTAAAAAAATTAAAATATTTTGACGAGCCCACGAGCTCGTGGGCTTGACGAGCCGAGCCCTCCTCGACTAGTGGATTTGAAGCCCAGCTCAGCTTGGGCTCAGGCTCGTCATTTGACGAGCCCAAACCGTCCACGAGCCGGGTTTTGACGAGCCGAGCAGCCGAGCCGACAAGCCGCTCGGCTCGTTTGACATCCCTACGTATCCATGGTAATTTGGGTGGTATTAGCCGTGATGGAGTGGAGTGGGGTGCGATGAAATGTTATTGTAATCAATTAATTTGATAATTTATGAACATATAAAAATATATAATTTGTGACAAAATATACAATTATTATCCGTTAATTGAGTAATCTGTGATTAGTAAATAATTTGTGACCTAAAAAATATGTAATTAAATAATTAATGACTAAAATATGAATAATAATCCACAAATTGCGTTATGTGATTTTGAACTTTTGTAATTA